TCGTAGGCACACAAAAAAATTAGAAATTCTACCCATCTGATGGGCTAACTGCCAGAAACTTTAGGTTGTGTTATGTATCTGAGGGTGAAACACAGTACATATCTGTTGTGTTAACATGTTTACCATCTCATGATTACTCTCATCCATTTGTTTCCTCGTGGACACTAGTGAGTTTGTAGTGAAGGATGACATTTCGGGAGGAACATATCTGACTATTCCCTGTGGTTGTGCCATCCGATTAGGGTTGCTTATGGAAGATCCTGACGCCAAATATGGATTTAAAGGCGAAGCTATCATCAGAATATTATTCGCAAACATCAAAGTGTGACTTTGTAACCTTGTCATCATATCAGTTGGCATCCTGAATGGGTAATCCCTAGTAACTAAGTATAGGGTAAAACTTGGGACATAAGGGTGGTTAGGATCCCCTACAACAATCAAAGTATGCTTATGTGCAGTTTGAATGTTTGTTTTTGATGGTAAAGAAACTACCACTCTTGGTATTGACGCCAAAGTCGATACTGGAGTTAAGATTAGGCATGTGACTCTGACAAGGTTTGATTTCCATGTTGTACCAACCGTCATAGTAATTGTTTGTTCAGGGTTTGAAGCATCATTTTGGACACATGAAGTATTTTTTGGATAAATCATTTCTGCTAAAGTCCTACCACTTCTCAGACGCATATGACTATGGACATTGAAAACATTTCATGTAGAAAGAATATGTCTAAATAATACAACAATTTCTTGTAAAAGAAAATAATTTTTTTTAACAAAAAGGTCCCATCGGGTGTGCCAATTTGTTGACATGTGTTTTTAGCAAAAAATCACGAGTTTAAAAGTCTGTGAAATTAACTCGAAAGCAATTTTATGCAAACATATGTACAAGAAAGTATGTATGTGAAATGATTGTGAATGTATGTATGTAGACAAAATAAAGATAAACTTTAATAACGAAAAAACTTGAATTAAAGTAAAAGAACACTGCAATAAATGATATTAAATAAACGCATTAAATGACAGAAATAATACAATGTTTCAATTAAGGGAACATAAAGACAATAAAGAAAAAATGGACGTAGACTCACATGTTACTCATAAACTGTTTTGCACTTTGACTTAGGTACTCCAGTTTTATAGAGAGTATGAATTTTGTGACCTCTATTACAACATATGAATCTACTATATATATATATATATATATATATATATATATATATATATATATATATATATATATATATATATATATATATATATATATATATATATATATATATATATATATATATATATATATATATATATATATATATATATATATACCGAACTAAATATAAGTGTCTCCGACAAGTTATTCCTAAAAACTAGACACGCCTTCAAGAACATGCAACTTGATCTTCTGATGTACTGTCATATTTTCAGTACTTAAAAACTACTAAAAACCATTATCCCATGTTCGTAACTGCTCTTAGCGACTGATAATTGCCTGCTCGTCGAAGGTGATTGCTGAAAGTGATAAGACCCATCTCAAGTATTTAGTTTCGAAAATCTTCTATATCTTTGTAGTTAGTTGAATGCTTTGACCTCTACATTGTGTCGAGTGATCAATTAGATATGTTTCTTAGACTCCTCTAAACCATGTCTCAAGATCCGCTTTTGAGATTCTTCCAAACCACGGTTCAAAATGCTAGTCGAAATGCTCTAATTGACGTATCCATTCCTGTCGACTTATGTTAATCAATGCTAACACTTAGCATTTTCCCAATGCAACATTCAATTGAATTTTCCCAAATAGAAATTCCAGGAAAACACCCACGACTAGTCCCTACTATTCCATCTGAAGGCATTGATAAATAGTTTGCTAGTCACATTATCATCTCGGCCAGTGTCTTTAGAGACCGTGTAATGAAGGTTGAGTTCCCCGCGCAGTGTGCAGATAGGTACTTGGAGTGGTACCTTACTATATCACACCCTCACATCGTCCCACCTAGGCAGCATGAAGATGATGTTGAAGCTTCTCATGTTGGACCTTCTCATGCTGGAGAACCTTCTGAGGACGTGCCTCCGCCTCCACTGCCTCCACATGGTGCGGATGATGCTCGGTGCCTGCAGATGATATCAATCATTATGGATAACCTCATGGATTTGGTGAACCCAAATGACAAGGTTTATACTTTGACAACGTAGGCAACACACTTAACCCATGAGGAACATATTTATACCTTATTATCATTTTTGTATTATTTGTATATTATGTGCAGTATTACTCAGACATTTGCACAATACAGTTTATTACATAATATTTTGGCACTTCCATTATTGTATATGATGAACATAACTTAACATTTGACAAACAGTTACATAACTTAGACAGATGATTACATAACTTAACAAAACAATAATAAATAAGAAAACCTAAACATTATTAGATGATTTTAGATGTTTCAACATCTTGATTATATCTTTGATAGATCTAGTAATTATCACATCAAACTCTATTAGTCTATTAGTTAGCCTACGATGATATGTTCTCCACATAACCTTCAAATCCTCATCACCCTTCAACTTAATACAATCGTATTTCACCTTTTCGTTAGTATCAACCCATGGCACAAGAAACTCGATCTTACTCATCTTTCTATTCTCGATATCAGGAAATATATTATTCATCTTGAATATTAGAAGGGCGAGACATGTAGTTTACTCTAGGAGCCGAAAAACCAATACCTTTTATATTATCAGATTTTTCAGCTTTATTAAAAAAAAAATCGATAAAGATAGGTACATTTAAAAAAACCACTACGTAACTCCACATACCAAATTTTTGAAATATCTAGTATACCGCCGATTTTTTATGTACACTATTAGATTTTTTTTTACCAAATCTTTTACTTGTTCTATTGAATTTTTCGTCCAAACTTTTTGATAAAATTTTGACAAGAGTAATATGGATATTATAAAAATATGCCGGGGGGGGGGGGGGGGGGGGGGGTCAGATCAAAGTGTGGAGGTGGTAGGATAAATTCTCCTAGACAAATAATCTCGAAATGATTCTTAAAGCAAACATGGAAGGGGATCCTTTCCTGTGTAAATTTTACTAGAGAGGGAATAGTGCTCATCATTGTCCTTAATACTCATTTCGTTATATTATTTTTATACTTTTGGCATTTGAATGAGTGGTCAGATTTCAATGGATAAAAACTACACTTGAGATAATATTTTCTAAGTAGGGGGTGTTTGCGGTGCAATTCAGATCCGTTTTTAGATAAAAACCCATCTGGTCCAAAGATAAATTTATTCACGGTTTAATTCAATTTTGGATGATTGATTTAAAAAATTTGTTTCGATCCAATCTCATTTCATGCAGTTTAATTTAGATCGATTTTTAAATATCCAAATTATAAATTATACTTTTTGTTAAGAATATAAAAATGCTAATAATAATTAAGAGTATAACATATAATATATTAAAAATTAATATTACAAAATATTAATGGTCAATTATTATAATTGAAAGAAATAAAATAATAAAAATAAATAGATTAAACTAAACTAATTAATAATATTACAAAAATAAGTATCATCGAATAATAAATTAAAAATACATATCATATTTATAAAAAAAGTATAAAATTATACCAGCGTGGTTTAGTTTAGTTTGAATCAATTTTTTGAAAAAAATCAATCGATAGTCTGATCCAAACTAAATAGTTTTTACAAAATGATATATAAGCATGACAACAATACAATTCGGAGACAATTTTTACCTCTCCCAAACCCAAACACGAACTCAAATCTCCAAACAATCTCCATTCTCCGCTCCAAACCCAAACGGGGATGAAAATTTAAAATCTAAATCCGTCCCAAATGGGTTTGAGTATTCCCACCCCGTCACCATCCATTTAGTGGAATTAAATTTTTTTAATAAAAAAATTTATTTTTTCCTATATCAAATTACATTGTAAAAATAAAATAAAATAATCTCAAAAAATTCTACATTGCAAATATTTTAAATAAAAATAAAAATATAAAAACATTAACTACATATTTAATATTCTAAATTATCAAATCTAAATAATAATCTAGATAATAAGGTGAACGAGGCGGGTTCGGGATCAGTACTAGTGTCTCCCTCACCTGACCCATTCCTATATTTTATAATCAAGAAAAATTCAAATTCATTTTTCTAAAATCTTAATATCTGGCCTTGCGACCAACTAAGCCAAAATGATCAACCCTATTATCCACTAGTGGAGATCTTATTTAAAGTCAGAGCAAAACTCCGTATGAACTGATATAATACAAGGATTGATTCCCACCTAGTAGAATTTAAATTTGAGACCCTGAAGAAGAAATATTTAAACTCAGTTAAAGCTGAATATCCATAAATACGAATTGTGTTATCGTACCTAAGCATATAAATATATTCAATAATATTTAATATTTTATAATTTTTAAATTATTTTTATAATTTTAAAATTTTTATTTGAATTGATTTAAATTTCAACAACCTCTGCCCGAACATTGAATCCAAAATAGTGTCCAATGACGTAGTTCTCCCGCTATATACTAATCGGTGCTATTCCTGTAATATTTCCATTTCTGAGTGGCATTTTCTTACGATTCGCTCCCATCATAGAACTATAGTCAAGCAAGCAATCGTATGTTTTCTTCTCTCTCTCTCTCTCTCTCTCTCTCTCTCTCTCTCTCTCTCTCTCTCTCTCTCTCTCTCTCTCTCTCTTCATCTAACAAATAACCAAAATTAAAACCATAGAACCAAACTTGTCGCACGCATTAACTCTTGCGTCAATTCCCAGGTAGTACTCTTTCTTCTCTTCTTTTCATCTTGTTTTTGTTCCAACTATGTTTCTTTGTCTCTTCCACACAATCCCAATTAATTTGAGTTGTTTCTCATGTTGTAGTAATTTTGCAGATAAAGTATTTGTTAAAAGGGTTAAACGAAAATTGGGAACTGTATCAAAATTCAGAATTCAGAAATGGGATCTGAAGGGCCAAAAGCTATTACAATTCATGTAACTGGGTTTAAGAAGTTTCAAGGAGTGCCGATAAACCCTACTGAGATTATTGTTAATAATCTCAAGGGTTATGTTGAAAAGAAAGGTCTTCCGGATGGTGTTACTCTTGAAAGTTGCACTGTTCTTGAAGTGGCTGGTGAGGGTGCACTTCCTCAACTGTATCAGACTTTGGAATCTGGTGTGTCTAAAACAGATACAAACAGCAATGCTAATGTTGTTTGGGTTAGTTGGTTTTCTCTTGTTCAATTTCTTGAATCTTTGACTTCAGTTTAATTGTTGATAATTGTTCATGATACCGTCTTTAAATTTGTAAAAATCATTGAAGTTTATGAGCAGTGTCTCAAGTAGGAAGCTTTGGTGAGCTAAGGGACATCAAAGGGTTTCTAAGGAGGAGGTCCATGGTTTGAACTGGAAATTAATATAACCACTAACTTACTACTACTCCTAGTTAGTTACTGTCCAAAGTAATTGATCATAAACTTTTTTTCTTAGAGCTTATGGTAAACTCTGTGAAGCAATGGTACACTGTTTTAGGCCAAGTACCATTTCCGGGTACATAGTGGATACTGTTACGCGAATGGTACATACTTAGTCTGTACCTTTCTTTTTTGTTGTTTGGTATGCGCACCGGTACACGATTGGTACTCTAGTTTGACTTTATTGTATTTTTGTTTTAGGAATAGTTTATACATAAACATTTATATCATAAGTGTCTCTGCTATAAACGCTTAATTAAGTTGTTTCTACTTTATTCAAACACGACCTAGCACACATTTGAAAAAAAAAGGATTTACTTTAGAATGTCTTAAAAGAAGTTTAATAAAGTATGCCGATTTCGAATTACCATCTATTAGACTTGAATATTGTTTGCTACACTTGTCATTTTCACCACATTTCTGGTAGAGACATATTGAAATGCATTAAAAATTGAGTTTTTATATCATGTTATCTGTAGCATTTTGTTTCCATCATCACATTAATGCCCCGAAGTCGCTGCCAGACATTGTAACAAATTGGCTGAATGAAAATTGAGAAGAAATAAACTCGCCAATACAATTATGCAATGGTTATCATGTTTAGTATTATTTTTGCTTCTCTTCATTTTCTTTTTATTTCTAGGGTCTCTTGTTATATGATCCTTGTTAATTATGAGCTAATTTTTAAATGTTAGTGTGAGAAACCAGTATTGTAAATTGCGTATCACGAAACAATAGTGATTTGTTTGAATTCCGCCATGCTATGGTGCTATAGCCACTATACTTTGCTATAGCTGCTATATGCCAGCACCATGGAAAGCCGATGATTGGTACATGTTGAATAAAAGATACTGTGAAGCACAAATGCATGTTGACAATAAAATCATATTTCCTGGATTACATTGATAATGATTTTTTCCCATAAATTTATGCTTCAGCTTCACTTGGGGGCGAATAGTGGAGCGACAAGGTTTGCCATTGAGCGCCTGGCAGCGAATGAAGCCACTTTCCGCTGTCCAGATGAATTAGGATGGCAACCACAGGTGGGTTATGATCTTGCATCTTGTTTATCTTTTATTTATTTATGAAATTAGATAGCTAAAAGGTTTTCTTGAATGGTTTGAAAGCATACCATGTTTTACATTGTCTGAATACCTTTTTCTTTGTTTTTCACTTTTCTTTTGCAGCATGTCCCGATAGTCCTTGAAGATGGTGGGGTTTCTCAAAAAAGAGAGGTAAAACTGCAATTACTTGTAAAAATCTATAGCGTGATCCATAACATGTTGGATTGCATTTTATTGGACAAGTTATGTTTTGCACAAATTAGTTTTTCTTTTTCCTTTTGTTTAATGTATTGGGAAAAACTGGAACTCCACATTAGTAAAACTTAAGGACTAAATGACACTTATATAGCTTAGACAATTTTCATCTTATAAATTGATTTTGTGGGGTTGAGTTAGGTTTAGAACAGTAATGTTGTATTAATTGGTTGAGTTAATATATGGAGTGGTAACAACTGAAGAAAGGTTATACTTTTCATTGATGATGTATAACTGGGTTAAGAAAATGATCGGAAGAACAAATGAATAAGGAAAGACAAATACACCAATTCTTGTATTGGGTTATGCTTGCCTTAAATAATGTGCATGGCCCATAATTTTTGTTAGCAAAATCCAATGCCACAGAAAGTGATTGTATTTATGGTTATAGATTGTAAGTTTGGAGTTTGTTAGAACAACAACCCTCGTTCTATAAAGTAAAATGATTCAAAAAATACAGAGTGAACACACGATACATGATCAGAGTTCAGTCAATTGTGCATACGTCCCTGACTCGAGAGTGGCCAATTGTGCATACGTCCCTGACTCGAGAGTGGCCAATTGTGTATACCTTGTTCCGGTCTCTCATACTTGCATTGCACGCTGTTGTAGCTATTCTAAGAATGTCTTTATTATATTCCTAACTTGCAATTATTGTTTATTTTGTTTTATGCAGACTTCTCTACCCGTTGATGCAATCTATAAATTCTTGAAGGGAAAAAGTTATGATGTGATGTTATCAGATGACGCCGGACGATTTGTTTGCAATTATGTGTATTATCACTCTCTCCGGTTTGCTGAACAGAAGGGTAACAAGTCTCTATTTGTCCATGTTCCCTTATTTTCAAGTATCGATGAAGAAACTCAGATGAGATTCACAGCCTCTCTTTTGGAGGCCATTGCTTCTGCATGTTAATAATGCAATTGGTTGAATTGTTTGCAAGGACTGCCATGTCCACTTTGTCATCTTGGTCGTGCATGTAAATCATTTGTCTCGATAGAAATGCAGTTGTATAACAGTTCTTGGGTGAATAACAAAAGTTCTTTGTTTTTTTTTGGTTTGGCATGTCGTTATGTACAATTCAGGGATTCCTTCTCATGGACTCTGCACAGATATATATGCTGTTGGTGATTGTTGAAAATCTTGTTGGCCTAGTTTTTTTTTCGTGATTCATGTTAATATTTCAAATGCTATGCAATTTCACACCATAATATAGTTCCAATGTCTATTTATATAGACTTATTTGAACTTATCTTTTGACCTAAACATCCATTTGTAGACTTGAGTGTATGGATGAACTTAGAGCATTTCCAACTGTGATATTTATTTTTGGATTATTTGTGGCATCTATTAAGGGAGATTGAAACAATTCATTCAATTTTTACTTCAATGATGTAAAGAATTTATATTGAGTCTCACAATTTCATCTTATATATTAATATTTTATTTATATTATATTATACTTTAATTTAAAATATTAGTTTAAGTAATATGAATTAAATTTAATATAAATTAAAATTAATAAGTAAATAAAATAAACTTGAGTTTTTTATAATAATAAGTAAAATTAACATTAAGTTATTAAAAATGGAACAATAAAGAAGAAGAAATAAATACATTAATTTATTTGAATTGTTAAAAAGAGAAGAAAAAAAATACAACAAAACCATAAATTTATTATTTGGTAAGTGAATTAGTACGTTGCTTTAGAGCTGGCAAAACGGGCTACCTGGTCCGTAACGGACTCGGGTTTTGTGCGGGCCGGACTAAAAAGTCTAAATTATAAACGGATCACAATTTGATTGATCAAGCTCGAATCTTCACGGACTATGGTTTTTTCGGGCCGACCCGATTTATATTTATAATTTTGTTTTTTTTTTAAAATTAAAAAGTGAGTGTTTTATTTAAAATATAATATAATACTATTAGTATATTGTACACACCATACTCTAATTTTATCATAACGTCAAATTATAACAATATGACATTTCACATAGAAAATGCATCAGTATGACATTTCATTTCACTTAGAAAATGATAATAATGTTGTACACACCAAAATGTAACTTATAACATTTCCCTTGACACATTGTTTGTCTTTTTCATTTGAATAAGGATTTAAAACAAAGTAAAATTCTCAATGATAACATTAAATTTTACAAATTAAAATAAAAATAAGGTCTAAAATTCATTAAAAAAAATTAAGCGGGCTACCTGCTACTCAGTCGGGCTAGCTCGATTAAACATCGGACTTTTGACGGTTCGACCTTAAAAGCCCGAATAATAAATGGGCCTTATTTTTTTGTTCAAGTTCGGATTTTTTGGCGGACTTTCGGGCTGGCCCAGTTGGTCCGGCCCGCTTTGCCGACTTTAGTTGCTTTACAATGCAACTAATTTTCATGCTGACAAATTCCAATGGTTGTTCATTTCAAAGCTTTCGTCTCCCGCCTTTCCGCCTTTCCATTGAAGTTACTCTTACAAAAACAACTTGCAACATGTCTATAATTTGATTTGAGCATATCTCTATAAGCTCTTTTGTATAAACTATTAAAGAGAGTTTATAGACATACATGTTGATTAATGTATTAGGTAAAATAAATTGTTTTAAATATATTATATAGTAGTCACATTTGAAATAGGTAGTCAGTAGAGACATGCACTTTATTTGATTGCATTTTGGGTTGTTAAGGTAAGGTTGATATGTGTATCTACCATTATTGAAAAACAGAAGCTTGTTAAGAGATGTATCTCCAAATTGTGTCCTTAATGGTTTTCCAGGTTGTAAACAACACTGACAAATTGAGACTCGATTGTGAAATCCAACATGCGTCTATTCGACGCGAGAGAGCTAGACTTCAAAATGAGCAGTCCAGGGCTAGGCGAGGAACCATCCATATGCCTCTTGACAAGAAAACATCGACTTCTAGGAGCCGTTTGTCATAGGGGTCCTCATCCCAAGGGCATGTCTCCCCTACTCACGAAGACAGGGAGGAAGCTCCCGTTGCACATGATGGTGTCCATGCACCTGTATACCCTTATCCAGGAGGGACCTCTAACAACTTCTTACTAATATACTACAGAGTTCATGTTGTTGGACATGTCTGGGCCATAGAGGTATATTTGTTAACGATTGTTAGTAATATGTTTTAACGACAACAAATGTATGTCTAGGTCGGAGATCATGCGACTTATATTGTTATAGTTTTTAGCAGGAGCGTGAATGTTTGAAGTCTGTTAACCACATCAGAAATGTTTTACAGCTCTATCAGCCTGAGGATGTTTGGATCCAAAGTGTCATTTGATACTCCGGTCTTACCGACCTGTGTTGCTCCGAGTAAAAGAGCATTAGCTATGACATGCAGTGGGATTTTGCTGAGAGATGACATAAATAAACATCATCTTTCCACTTCCCCATTGACGAGATTGATTCCTAGCATATGCCTTCTTATTATTTTCAGAGCTGGATGGCGTGCTAATGTTAAATCTCGGTTTTGTGTAAAGCCGAGATAATAATGCAATATTTTTACCTCAGTTATAAGTAAAAATTGAGGGGATAACATTATATATATTTTTATAATTTCGTTTGTACCTGTATTATGAACCATATCACAATATATAAAATAATATTTTGCATATTTTTGAAACAAAAACTTGTACGTTTTGGGAACTTCTCAAACAAAAACATTATACCATAAATATTCATTGTTTACACCAAATTCAAAGCCAAAATGACACACACCTTATATTTTTACAACAAAACTAAAACAAATTATTAACCAACAAAAGCAATAACCAAAATGGAAAGTTTTGTAGGCTGTCCAAAAGTTTTATGCTAAGATTTGTCACTGTTCGTTAAGTAACTTTAACTTGAACAATATTTAAAGCCAATTAGGATAATCAACAACAACATTAAATCTTTAGTAAAAAGAATATAGATGAGTAAAATGAATAACTATAAATTACTAAATGATATAAAACATTTACTTACTATTTTCCTATATCCCCTCTTTATGATCACGACGAATAATATGCACATCATCTAAATTATTTTCTTTAGATGAATGATGTACATGTGTTATGAAACAAGTGGCTCATAGTTAAAATCTTAAATTTCATCAGTATTATTAAGAAGATATTTTCCATGAAGAACAATTGACCATCTACTGTTAGAAGGGTCAATGATATTAAAAACTTGTTTTGCTTGGGTTTCCATGATGAATGGTTCGTTCTTATAAGTTGCCTTTCAAATTTCAACTCATGTGAATCCTAATTCATAGATTTATACACCAATGTTACTGTTAATCCACTTGCACTTAAACAAAGACACTTTAAAAACAACATAATTAATCTCTAAAATATCCTAAATAACTCCAAAGTACGCTCTAGATGCTAGTACAAGATTGCTATCTTTTGAACTAAAGAACTACATGGATTCGGATTCAACCATAAATCCACTATTTTGTATGGTACTATGATCATCCTTTGATTTTGTATAGAATGAAAATTTAGTAATGTCATATGCACTCCAAGTAATTAATTAAACTTAGACATACATGACAACCACTTAATTGTTTCTGATGCACTACTCTCTTTAGAAACAATTTCATTAAACCAAGTTATGAAAGTTTTGTTATGCTCTGCCAATAACCATCTCTCATTCATCCAGGGAAAGTTTTCCTTTATAAGACTTTTGTGAGCGGTCAAGTAAGGTTAAACTTCATCCATATTATTCAATATATACAAGTGTGCTTAAAGAACTACATCTCGGCCAAAAATCTTAACATTCAAACCTTGAGTACCTCTACCATCATATCTTCCATCACGAAGAGACTCAAGAATTCCTATAGAGTTCGCTTCTGACAATAGTTTGTACAAAACTCAATATCTTCTTCTGTGATGTACTGTGCAACAATCGAAGCCTCCAGAAGGTGATGATTCTTTGTAAACCCTTTAAAGATCTTCATGTATCTCTCTACCAGATATATCCACCGTAAATAAATTGGACCACAAATTCTAATCTTCCTTACTAAATGAAAAACTAAGTGAACCACACTATCAAAGAATGATAGAGGGAAAAAATCTTTAATTGACAAAAGATAATTGTAGTCTCGTGTTCTAACTCATCTAACTTTCCAGGATCAATGACTTTACTACATATAACATTTAAGAATAAACACAATTTGATTATAGTTATCCTTACATTTTTTGGTTGAATACCACAAATAGCCACTAAAAGAAGTTGTTGCATCAAGACATGACAATCATGAAAATTTAAGCCAACTTATTTGAGATCTTTCACTAACACAAGTTTTTTCACATTTGATGAGTACCTTTGGGGAATTTTGATACCCTGCAAACATTCACAATTTTTTTTTTCTTTTTTAGACAGAGCATGACAAGCTAGGGGGAAATATGTTCTATTTCCTATTTCTTTTGGGGCTAACTCATATCGTATTCCCATTACCACCATATATTCACGGGATTTCTCAACATTTTTTTCTTGCCTTTAATGTTAAGAAATGTCCCAATCAAACTATCACATACATTTTTCTCCACATGCATCACATCAAGACTAGATCAATATAGAAGATCAAAAAACACCTATCCTTTTTTCCAAATAATTTTTTCCACTTGCCCTTTTTATTTATTTCCAAAGAAAACATTAATGTGTTGTTGTCTTTTATAAACTTCCTTCTCGGTTAAGGGATTTAGAGCGATATTAAACTCCTTCTCTCCATTAAAAATCTTCCATAATCTACGGTATGGATGTTTCAGTCTTAAAATTTTCAATGCCAAAGATAAAAAGTCTTTTTTCCATTTTGTAATTGGTGGTGGCATGTACCAAATTAACATATAGGACACACTTTATGTCCCTTGAAGCTGTACCCCGACAAAGTACTGTATGCAAGAAAGTC